GCTGCTATTTGTAGAGCTGACAGTTGGTAGAGGAATGCAAAGTGTCTTCTAACCTGCAGTAACTATACTCACTAGAGTTTGAACACCTTAATTACTCAGTACCCAGCTCATTGTAGGCACTAAGATTTTGTTAAACAAATGAATACATGAACAAAGATATGCTTTAAATTAAGGGTCAGCAAGCTGTCTGTCTGGCGCATGACCTGTTTTTGTAAAGCCTGAGAGCTAAGAATGGTTTTTAAAGGATAATATTCAAAGAATATGTGACAGAGATCCCTTGTGGCCCACAAAACTGAAAATGTTTATTATCTTACTATCTTTCATATATTATCCGACTGTCTATGTACAGAAGTTTGCTGCTCCGTGCTTTAGATGATGGAGGTGCTAACTCCCTTCTCTCCTCTTTGTCATTTATACTGTGTTACTGGAACCTAAATAATTGCTGTAGATGGTGGCATCTTGGTGATGTTTGTGACCTACTAAATAGGGCAGAGTGATTGTGGGACACATGAAGGCTTATAATAAGAAGTGAAGGAACTGCTGATGATGAATATTTAATAAAAACCAAACTGACTTTGTGTTTCTAAGTATTCAGGAACTGCTTTGAAAATGTCATTGGGTCTTTACGAGGTCACCAAATTTTAGAACTGGAAGAAAACTTTGAAACTCTTTTGTCCAACCATTCATGAGTAAACTAAAGTATGGAGAGGAAATAAAGAACTTCTCAAAATGAAATTACTTTTTAGAAACAAGGCCTTTCCCAAACTGCTGTATTTGATGATTTAAAAAAGAAAAAAATTCCCAGATTTTGAGACTAAGATTACTGAAGTGGGAAAGTTTGATCAGTTCACTGCAGTCCCAGTCCCTGGAGGGGACAGTAAAACATGACAGTATGATCTGAACTTAGGCAAGTTACTAAACTTTTTTTTTTGTCTGCATTGGCTGTGGTAATAACAGGGCCTACTTCCTAAAGTTGTTAGGAATAAATGAGTTTGTATTTGTAAAGCATTTTAACACTGTGCCTGGCACTAATATGGTAAGAATTGTATTAATGTTTGTTATATTATTGTTTGTTAATATATTAAGAAATATATTAGGGTTTGTTAAAGGCAGTGGCTAAAAGAATAATGGTCAATTTAACTAATAAAAGTTTGAGGCATCTTCATTCCTAGGAGGCCTCATTGGCTGTTAAAACATGCATCACTGTAGAGACAGTGCCTCTGATCCTTAATAAAATGCTAGAGGTGATGTTTTTGGTACCTGAAACCTGGTCTGCCTGATAATGTCTCCCTGCTCCATTATTGCTTATGTCTGAGATTTTAATGTCTGTATTCGGCTCATAAAGATCTTGAATCACTTAGCTCGTTAGATCTTTAAAATCAGTTTTAACAGCTAATTCTCATAATACCTTTCCAGTCTTCCCATTTAAAAACTACTATATAAGAGCTGGAGGGTAAGGCGTACCTTTGGTGTGTTTTCTGATCTCAGAAAAAAACAGAACCAACAGTTGGTAGTATAGTCCAGAGAAAATGAGTCAAATCTGTTAATTGTTTTAATAAGAATTCTGAAATTCCTGAGTTGAGATTGGCGACTTAGAAGTAAAAGATCTATATTATTTTACCACATCTCCGAGGAATATGCCTTTAGTAGTTTGGCATTTCAATGGGACGCTTTATTTGAAAGGTTAATTAAGAAACTTGAGTTTTGTTTTTAATTGGTTGTTCTTTTCTTATAGTTTGCAGTGTTGATGTGGGTATTTACCTATGTTGGTGCCTTGTTCAATGGTCTGACACTACTGATTTTGGGTAAGTCTACAAAACCACTGGAATGAAAAATTATAGGAAAAAATGGTGTGCAAGGAGCTGAGACATTTTAGTGGAGAATATTTTTACATTGTAGGAAAAAGAATGTACGTTAGAGGTTGTGAGCTCTTTAAATTGCTGAAACTGATCCTGTTTATGGAAACTAGTTCCTAAAGACTACTCAAACTAGCAGTGATAAACCAGATCAAGGGTGGTCCTATTTGATGGTGCAGTCAGTTGTGAATCTCACCAACCAGGATGCCTGTATTTCATAAAGTCTGTGATGTGATTTGAAGCCAGGAATGATTCCTGCAGCCTCCCTTGGTTTAATTCATTGCTCTGCAGTGGCTCCCACCAGATGTTTATAGGAGATCCTTGTGTATGTCTTCATGCATTAGGAACACTCCTGGCTCTCTTCAGAGTGCTGCCAGTTTGATGGCTTTGTCGTGTGTGTTCCCCAAATCATACCAGTCTATTTAAAAGGTTGTGTATTTCCTTTTTCAGCTCTGATTTCACTCTTCAGTGTTCCTGTTATTTATGAACGGCATCAGGTAATTTAATTGAAGATTTCAGAATACAGAGATCACTGTCTTATATGGAACTTTGAAATATATCAGTACTAGTTTCCAAAGCCTTAAAAAGAGAAATGTGATGTTTTCTTAAGCCTTTGCTGTGTTGGAAATAGTAAGGCCTAGTAAGATTCTAACAACTTCTTTCTACCTCTTTCAGGCACAAATAGATCATTATCTAGGGCTTGCAAATAAGAATGTTAAAGATGCTATGGCTAAGTAAGTATTTAAAATCTGCAACTTTTTTTAACTAAGGATAAGGTGTACTGGACTTTGAGAACTGTGCAGCATTCTCATATTGAGTAGCAACTTTCAGTCATACCTAGGGTGTGACAGTTGCAAAAGATTAGATTTTTTTCTCTAATGTTTGGATCATTAATTTCTGTTTAAATGTATTTACTAGGTTTTATTTAAGCCTAATTTGTAGGCCAAGGTGACAAAATTATAGCTTGTCGTTTGACAGCCTTAGGATTTTATTTCTTGTATAAGCTGAGCAATATATGACTGGTCAATGAAGGACAGACGTTTAAGAAGCAGAAAGCAATTTCGAAATATTTACATTGACCTCTTCCTCCTCCTCTTAATTTGTAGAATCCAAGCGAAAATTCCTGGATTGAAGCGCAAAGCTGAATGAGAAAGCCTGAAATAATTAACAATAAGTGTTTATCTTTAAAGGGGATACTCATTTGATTCCATGGGGGAGGGTCAGGGAAAAAGGAATCCTTGACATTGCAGTGCAGTTTCACAGATCTTTATTTTTAGCAAAGCAGTGTCTAAAGAAAAATGACCTGTCTTGACTGCCATGTGTTCATCATCTTAAGTATTGTGAGCTGCTATGTATGGATTTAAGCCGTAATCATATTTGTTTTTCCTATATGAGGCACTGGTGAGTAAGAAAAGAGCTGAGAAGGCTGTATATTACACGTTGTTGCAGGTAGTCTTGCTGTATTTGAGGAATTGCAGAGAAAGTGGAGCTGAAAAAAAATAACCCTTTTCACAGTTTGTGCACTGTGTATGGTCTGTGTAGATTGATGCAGATTTTTTGAAATGATATGTTTAGACGAGATCATGCCACCAAAGCAGGTGTGAAAAAGCTTGCCTTTCTGGGATGTTCTAGGTGTATTGTGAATTTTACTGTTATATTAATTGCCAATATAAGTAAATATAGATTATATATATATCTATATATAGTGTTTCACAAAGCTTAGACCTTTACCTTCCAGCTGCCCCACCGTGCTTGATACTTCAGTCATTGGTTTTATGTGTGTAGTTCCAAACCACATAAGCTAGAAAAAGAACATATTCCTAGGAGCACTACCATCTGTTTTCAACACGAAACGATGCCATGCAAATGAACTCAACATAAACTTCATCGCACAGACTTACTGTAGTTATTTTTGTCACAAACTCTGGACTGAATCTAATGCTTCCAAAAATGTTGTTCGCAAATATCAAACATTGTTATGCAAGAAATTATAAAATGCCGATTTATACAGTTGTGGTTTAAGCTGTACTGAACTAAATCTGTGGAATGCATTGTGAACTGTAAAAGCAAAGTACCAATAAAGCTTCTAGACTTAATGTTCGGTATTTTGGTTTCATGAACCTGCTGCAGATTAAAAGCATACAAAAAAGGGTAGACTGCTTCCGCCAGTCTGGTGGCTTGTACTTGCAGAAAGGTTTTAAGCTCAGAGTGCAGCTGCATTTACTTTGGAAACAGAACATGTTTGCGAAAATGTTTTTAAATTATATTTTTATACTTTGATAACTGAAAATAAGTTCATGCACCAATATTTTAACATAGAGTAGAATAAATACAGTGCAGGATTTATGAACATACATAAAATCATACCATATAAATATTTATAAACCAGATTTAAGAAGTTTTGACACAGACACTATTGCTCTTTACATACAGTTGTACATACCATCATTGATCAGTTTATTGTTCTTCCACATGGTTATTTCAATGCAACATCTGATCAGTATGAAAGGTCAGTGGTACAATGTAGGTATCATGGTTATCACTCAGCATCACATGGTTACAGGAAACAATTAGGACTGCAGAGGGACTAACTGTGGGCCCAACAACCTATCAGTGGATTAATGTAAGGCATTAATAAAATTGGCATATAAAAATAGCTTAATGAGTGATCTCATCCATTTAGAACGCTGAAGCACTTCTGTGGCAAATGTTAATCTGTTTAACTGAAAATGCTTCATTTCACCTTTCCTCTAAACTGACAACTACAAATAGTAACTCAAGATCCAAGATTCTTTAGTTCACTGACTGCAAGGACTAAGTGGTACAGATGTGCTCAGAGTCACAGTCCCTCCCCAGCCTTCCTCCCAGGGTGTGCCCTCAGCCCCTCCTGGAGTCAGCGGAAGGCCAAGTGTAAAGTATGACTGAGGTGGTTTAGGGTACTTTCTGGTTCATGTTGGCCGAGTCACATTCTGTCATTTTATTTTGTATCTTGATTTATCAGATCTATTGCTTGGGCTTAGGAATCTGTTTTGCAGAGATTCTTAAAATCCAGACTTGACCTTATACATAGTCTACCTCAAGCCTGAAGTCGACTGGAGTCAAGCCCACCCCACTCTGGGAGCAGTAAACTCAGCTCAGCCTCATGGAGCCACTTGATCCCACCCCCTTCTATTTTGTAGTAGAGGTTTGTTTTATTTGAAATGTTTTGGAGGCTGTGGGTTTGGCACGCAATATAGTGAAAACCTAGTCTTCCCATCCACCCCCCCTCCCCGGCTCCTGAAATTCGGAGTTTCTTTGTGGCTCACCTTCAAGTAGCCACTGTTTCCCAGGGAGGTAACTGATCTGATGTCTTTAATTTAGGAAGCCTTGACCTAAACACATGACACGGGTGACAGCCCAGGAATCTGCTAAGGGTCCTGTAGCCCTCCTCAGTTTTGACATTTTAGCACCATGTGAAGAAAGGAGACAATTTGTGGGAGGTGAGACAGCAGCCCACACAACTGGAAGCTTTCAAAGGCACTTAATGGATATAAAACTCTGCAAATGAAACATTAAAAAATTAAGTTTTCTCAACTTGTTTATACATGGCTCATTTGGTTTTGAAAGCTAAATGTGGAGAACAGAGGCTATCAATGTTTCTAGTATTTCGGTGAACCTAACTTAAGCTGTCCTGTTCAACTTCTTTGTTTGTAAAAGTGAACATTTTTAAAGTATATAGAAACATAATAGCAAAACATCTTTTGTAAAAGTTTTGATGCAAATTAAAAGCTACATATAGATTAGGGTAACTGAGGCTTTAAATTTTGTCAGTGGGCTACATTATCAGATAGGATTTCTTTGTCCGTGTACTTAGTACATATAGATTTTAGTCTCAGGAACAGGCAAGCAGTCTTAACATCTGAGAACTGACCTCCCGTCTTGGCATCACAGTTTCGGAGATTCCGGACGATGGGAGCAGCCACCCCGCTTCACTAGCACATGGAGCTTGTGCGGCCTGCCCGCTGTAGGCAGTTCCCAGCAGCTGGGGCCGAGGAGGCACCCACTCGCTGCCTCTGCGGTTGCTGGCTGGTAGTGGCAGCAGCAGTAAGAGGATTCTGGCACTTACAGACATCGCCACACAAACACACTGAAAAAGCAGATCAGTCATTTTGCATGGCTGGACATCATACTCTGTCAAGTGACAAACATTTTGCCAAGTGCTCCAGAATCAAACTCAGGTGATGCATTGAACATTTCAATTTCAAATTCAAACAACAAACCAGGGATTTTGCCACCAATGAAAGGTCTAATGCTTTTTTAAAAAGGTCTACTGTTTTTCATTTGGTATGGCTCTTTCAGAACAGCCTGAGTCTGTGTTCTGAACGGGAGGACTTTTGGCAGCTTGACTCTGCACTATCTCTCTTGTTACTATTGAAAAGGTTTTATCATCTCCACTCGAGTAGGCGAGCCCTTTCGAGTGCTCAGCACAGAGCCAGGGATCACAGCAGGCTCCCGTGGCTGCAGAGGCCTGGGGGCCCTGCATCTTAAAGGTTACTTCTAGCTTTTCATACCATCAGAAGTCCCTGGTATCCCCTGCACCAGGTGACTGTTAGGCTTCTGTGTCCTGTCGCTAGCTTGTACCGTTTGGTGCTGCTCTAAATGGGTGTTTGCACCTCTCAGGGAGCGGGCGCTCAGCACTATCTCAAGGGCTCTAAGTGCCAGAAGCAGCTGGCACAGCAGACGAGATCTCCCGGGCAGGCCACCAGAAAGCATCCTTGGGGCCATTTCCCACACAAAGCTTTTGGGAAGGAAGTGGGTTGAAATTCCCTACAGGTGCCTTTTCCACACACCCAGACAACTAGAAAACATCTGGAATGCATGCATGTCGTCTTGGTCATCCCAAGGGTTTTGCTTGGGCTGAAGAGAAACCAATATCCATGTTTCAGTAAAGCCCCTCAGCTACATTAGATGTGGAGAAGCTAAGTGACTTAGAATGACCCTGTCCTGACCCTCTACACTCCAAATGAGAAACGTGGAGGGACAGAAGAGAGCTGCCTCGGAAATGCTGAAGAGGCTGATGTCATCTCCAGAGCAGGCTGGTAGGGGTCCTTCTAAACACTGCAAGAGGAGTCCTGCCTCACAAAGCAATGGGCCTGTTCTGCGCAGAGCAGTGGATAGTCAGTAGCAGCCCTGGCTCACGAGATGACACAGCTGGTTGAGGTTCTCCTTCTGCTACTAACTAGTGCTGGGCCTGATGGCTCCCCCCTCACCTGATCTCCGGTGTAAAGCTGGGTAACGTGCTGTGCTTGTTTCTCAAGGTGACTGAGGCTCAACAGGATTTTTAAACCTCTCTTGGTTGTGGATTAATATCCACAGTGATAGATAAGAACTCCAGTGATGAGCTGGAAGTTATGAGTTAAAAGACCTATGGAATCAAGGTCATTCTAACCTGATTATATGCAGTGGACACCGTGGGCTGTTCAGCAGCTCCTACTGAAATCTGTTGTCTTGGGTCTCTCCCTCACATGTCCCTCCACCCAGCAATGCTCAGAGTAGCCACCACACGCCCTTGGCGTCTCACAATCCCAGGACAGCTCTAGTGGGGACATAAGCCCATCAAGGTGTGGGTTGGGAGTCACCAGAGACTAAATACCTTATACTTGGGAAGTCCTCGTCCTCATAAGAACTCACTGAATCTCCTGTCCACTCCCCCCTCCCCCCGTGCCCCTGGGAGGGGCTGACACCTGAGGGGAGGCAGGCGGGGGTGCAGGCCAGGCCTGGGCATCAGAGCCAGGTTAACCAGGTAGGTACCTGCAGTCATCTCCTCCAGTGCTGACCACATACTTGTCGTCATGAGAGAAACGGATGTTTGTCACGTGAGCTGAGTGACCAAAGTAACGCTTATGTTTGGCCTGTGAGCAAAAGTGAACAGAGATGATTAAGAGACCCTTTTCCTTCCAGCAACCACCGACCACTTCCAGGACTCAATTCCCCGCCTCCCAGGACCCTCCTTCACCCATGGGGCTCCCGTTTGGTCTGGTCTTCTCTGTTAGCCAGTGCTTCACTGGCCTCGTGTCTCATTCTCGCCCCACTTATGGCCATTCTGTCCATCCCCCCATTCTCCTGGCTTCCAGGATTTCCCCTCCTGAGGGAGATGAGAAGGTTGGGTATTGCCAAATCTCCACAGGGATGTGACAAGAGTCCTCTTGTTCTAGGTTTTAGATGGCCATCTAGATGCGGCCACGGTCCTGGCAGACTACAGAACAGAGAGCCTGCAGGCAGTGCAGGGAGACTCTAAGGAAAACTCACAAATTTTTCTGTGCATGGAAAATCAAAGAGCTTCACCAGCCCAAAGTCATCTCCTGTGACAATGTTCAGTCCAGCATGGGTTACACACGCACAGTTGACATCAGCCTTGTCTGCATTTCGTGGCCAGATGCCAATGACTTCGTCTCCCAAAATGCTGTTCCAAAAGGAAGGGGTGTTAGATGTGTGAGAAGGCTTCCTGCAGTCAGGCACACTCCAAGAGGAAAATTGAATATGTCATGTAGCTCTTCTGGCCTGACAGCATCTGTCCCCTCCCCTCTGGACACCTGGCCCAACTCTTAACTATTCTCTGCCCCAGTTCCCTTTATCCCCCAAAGAAATGTTACCTCCATCTTTGATTCTCTTCCTCTTCCCTACAGTGTTTCTGAGCATATGTAAGTTTGAGAGAAGGTGGGGGGGGCTTCCTCTTCCCTACAGTGTTTCTGAGCATATGTAGGTTTGAGAGAAGTGGGGGGGGCTCCTTCAAGCTCACAGGTTGGTGGTCTCTTTTGAACTGGCAAGGCACTGTTACCTGGCAGTTCTAACCTTAGGGGCTGGAGGCGGCCTCCCAGTCTACCACGGGGCTTGGCCAAGAGCTGGGAGATGGTTTCCCTTTGACCTTGCTGGATGGGGCTGGGGCTGGGTAGGACAGATTACACAAAAAGAGAGACTTTGCATTTCAAAAGCCCAGGCTGGTAGCAAGAATCCTTCTGCCCCCACCCCCCAAAGGAAAGACAGCCCTGTCTCTAAGCCACTTCAGATCCCAGCCACACACACACTTGGAGGCTGAGCCTGGGACAAGAGTCTCCCTTGTGACCTTTTCCTCAAGAAGTGTTTTCGTCCAGTCACCTTGTCCAGGAGGCCCAGGTGATCTTCTCAATGACCATGGCTTCGGTTACCTGCTTCCCCAGGGGGACCTCGTGCACCTGGCGCTTGTAGGCTCCTGTTGACACCTGCAAGTGGAAGGCAGCCATGCCCGTCAACCTTCTTTCCTGTCCAAAGGGAACAGGTGTCTTTGCCTTTGGGTGTACTGTTTCCCAGCCTCCACAACCCCAGGACTTTTCACTGAACCCAAGTTCAGCTCCAGGCTGCCAAGCCTGTGGTCAGCCCAGGGCAAAATTTACACAAGCAGGGTGTTTTTCCATCCATTTTCTCACTATTTCCAAAGCCCTAAAGCAGTGGTACTCCAAGTGTGGCTCTGGACCAGCAGCATCAGCGTCACCTGGAACCTTGTTAGAAACGCACATTTTGGGGCCCCCACCCCAGACCTACGCACTCAGGCTCAGGGTGGGCCCGGCAATCTGTGTTAACAAGGCCTCCAGGTAACTCTAATGCTCACTCAAGTCTAGGAATCTCTGTTCCCAGAGGACCAAGGTCCTTGGGTACAGAGCTGAGGCAAGTTTCCTCGTGGACAGCCAGTGATACAGATGATTTCTGAAGTATCTTGGACCTGATCCTAGCTTCTCTGGGGACCTTCTGGAAGAAACTGATCACTTGCCAGAAAATGGCTGCTGCCTCCATCTCCAGACCCCTCGCCCTGCAGGGGTTGCCTCTAGCCCGGCCACCCCAGACTTTCCTGCTGTTCAGGAATGAGCCGAGATCCCTCCCACAACTGGGCCTTCACGCATAAGGCCTGGAACCTGGAACCTGGAACCTGGAACCGTGTTCCCGCCCCTCTGTTGCCCAGCTCTTACACACCCTACAGCCTTCAGCGTAAATATCTGTGTGGAGAGAAAGTCAATCCAAACTCCGTGCTTGGTAAGCTCCCAGAGCACACTGTACTTTTCCTTCTCAGCACATAACCACAATTTGTACTTGTATGTACATTTTGTGATGATTTGTTTGATGCTCAGCTTCTCCACGACAAGACACGTTCCAGGGGAGCGGGGACCAGGCCCATTTTGTCCACCCAAAAGCCTAGCAGAGTGCCTGGTTCAGTAAACATTTGATGAATGAACGACACTCTCTTCTCCCACAATGACTACCAATTCCAGGCCGGCTCACAAACACATGCTATTTGTTCAAAGTGCTAGAGAAATCATTCTATTTTCAGCTCTAAGTGCCAAGGCAGGGACTCCTCCCCACTGGTCAGTCCCCCACGGCCAGTGATGGGCTCACTCCAGGCTCACTGTTTGGAGTCCGGGTCCTGAGTGTGGAAGGACCACACTACCCAGTGGGATCTGGAATTGAAATCAGTATGTATAGGAAGCAACCCAGGCTCTGGTGCAGCCCCAGAGAATGAGGGATTAGACAGCTCTGCAGGGGCAGGGCTGAGAGGAGGATCAGAGATGAGGGCTTGTGTTTCCTGCTTTCCTACTGAAGAATAAGTCTACTACTTTAAATTCTATTCAACTTTCTTAAATTCTCTATGCCTCTGTTTTTTCATTTATAAAACAGGGGAAAGTAACAATACTTAAACGGTTCCTGTGAAGAGTCAATTGGCAAACTGCCCAGCACACAGTCAGCACTGAACTCATGTAAGCCGCTGTCAGTGCTACTCTTACTACTGGTTGCCCCAGATGTTAGAAAAGCCGAAGCCTACCTGGATGTATCTGCCATCTGCGGAAAAATCCATCTGGATGACAAAGCTTGGGATATCTTTGCAGTAGCCAATGCGGTTCAGACTTGTGCCCTGAGTGAGGTCATAGAAGTCCACGGTGTGTTCAGAAGAACCAACGGCTAAGAATCTGCTGTCTGGGCTGATTCTAGAAAAAGCAGTTCAAGAGCACGGTCTGTGAGGAGGGCTGTTTGGGGCTGGTCGGGCACGAGGTCTGCTCTGGACAGGCCTCCCAAGCTCAAAGGCGATGAGACCACTCCTCCCGGTTCACAGATGGTGAGCTTCTCCTATGGGCTACGGAATCTGACAGCTTCTCTGTATCAAAGCCCCTCAAAATAAGGAAATGGATGCATACAGCCTTCTGCAGAACGGTGTTTCACAGGAAGTTTTTTTACCACACTCTCAGGGAAATGAGCAAAGACAGGTCAGAATTAACATGTGAGAGGGCCTCCTTCCAAAGCTGGCTCATTGAAAAGGACCTTCTCACAGCTGAGTTCTTCATTCCAGCCATGACCCTGCTCCAACGGGACCCACGGGAGGGAGGACACCCGCCCTTTCTCCTCCCTGCCCAGACCACCTGCTATGTACCTGATATCCTGGATAGCACACTTCCTGTCTCGTTTCTTCCCCCAGACTTTCAGGCTGTTCACTAACAAGATGACAAACTCTCCGTTCTTCATGCCAATGGCCACCATCTCCCCGTTAGGGCTGTAGGCTGCACATCTGGCCGCGTGGCCCAGGCTCACCTTGTTGAGTAGTTTCTACATTGACACAAAGTAGCACCACCTGAGCCCTTGGCCACCTTGGCTGGTCTCCTGGGAAGTCCTGCCCCCAGGCTGGAGCCGTCAGGCCGCCTCTGCTGCCTGGGGAGGCCTCCTAACCTCTGGCTTCTCAGAGTAAGTGTCCCTGAGTGGCCAAGGCGGCCAGTATGTTTTGACTGAGCAGCTTGGGAGACAACATGTTTTAGGGTGGGAGTTGGTGAACTTTTTCTGTGGGCGGTTTGGTGGTTAATATTTTTAGGCTTTGGGGTCCCTATGGTCCCTTACAACCACTTGGCTCTGCCGACGTAGCCTGAAAGTAGCCATGGGCGCCAACAGAAACGGAAGAGCATGTCTGGCTTTGCAAAGACGGGCAGTGGGCAGACCTGAGCCTCGGGCCGCAGCCTGCTGACCTCCTGCTCAGGGCAAAGGGCTTGCGCTTCGGCATCGGTTAGTTCAGATCCCGACTCCTGGCCTTGTCCCTAGCTGGGCGTTTGGCTAAGTTACTTCTCCATTTTCCCACGTGTAGAGAAGCGATATTAATACTGGTCTTGCAAGGATGTAGGCATTAATGACAGTGTCTGTGCAGCATCTGTATGTAGTAGGTATTAATAAACATAATAAATAATTAGGAGTTAACAAGTGTGAGTATAACAACCACACTTTGGCTTTTCCATGTCTGTTCTTTGATTCTTACCCTGAAAACATGACTGAAACATTTACTAGCCATTTTGTAATGAAACCAAGTATTTTAATTATTAGAACCTAACTACTTGTTTTAATATCAGCTAAGGCTTAGTCACATTAACCTCTCCCCACCACCAGATCATTCCTTGCTTTTTTACATTTTCATTCCAGATGAGTCTTTTTGGAAATTTTTTGAATTTTTTAATTGTTTTTCCAAACTCTAAGAGAAACTTTGCTGGGATTTTGATTGAAATGTTCCACTTGAGAACATCTGACATTTTAAAATCATTTTTAGTCTTCCCACCCAGGGAAGACATAACTTGTCTAAGTTTTTTAGTTTTGTGGGTTCTTTCTTGACAAGAGAATAACTGTTCTCAACTAGATTTTTCCTGGGCTATAAATATTCGTAGATGGATACACAGCTAAAAGGTCTACGTATAGACTGGGGGCGTGTGAATGGGCCTCCTTATCATTAGGCTCTCTCACTTCCCTGCTGACCAGTGGCTATTTTCCTGTGTGGCCCCATCCCCTCTCTCTGGTCTGACCCTGGCCAGACCTCTCCTCCCTCCGGGCTGTCACTGCTCTGAGACCACTTGTGAGCCTCCCAGCCCGGGCAGCGTGGGGCCCTCACCTTGTCAGCCAGGTCCCAGGTGCGGGCTGTGCCGTCGTTGCTGGCAGAGATGAAGATGTCCTTGGAGGGGTGTGTGGCCAGGCCCCAGATCTCCCCTTCCATGTGTCCATCAATCAGGATGTTGGAAGCAGCGTTTTTTTCACCAACTTCAATTATTTCTCCATCCTTGGTCCCCACTAAAATTTTTCCCTGTTGTAATCAAAACACTATTAGGAAAAAAAGACAAATACTGTAGGATCCCAGTCATATGAAGGGCCTAGAGTAGTCAAATTTATAGAGACACAGAGTAGAATGGTGGTTGCCAGGGGCCGGGGCAAAGAGAGTTACTGTTTAGTAGATGCAGAGCTTCAGCTTTACAGGATGAAAAGCGTTCTGTGGAGGGATGGTGGTCATGGTTGCACAGCAATGTGAACGTAGTTAATACCGCTGACCTGCCCACTTAAGAATGGTTAAGTGGTAAATTTTATGTTCTCTACATTTTGTCACAATTTAAAATAAAATAATTTTTAAAAGACACTATGAGCAACCTGGGAAAGTGCCTTCACTGGCACTGGTATTGAAGCAGGAAGAGCCAAGAGGTGTTTTGTTTTTAACTACTTTGTCCATCCTTCAGCGACCCCCTCACTTGGTCCTTTCTCACTCCCCCATGCTGGGGGACTCCACCGGAGTTCTCCATCCTCTCGTCTCTGCTGGGACGTTCCAGGCACTGCAAGCTCACTGCAGAGCAGGGCAGCCAACCTCTGTTCTTGGACAGCTCAAACGCTTCCTAAGTTCTCCCTCGCACTGAACAAAAACCCATCTCTTGATGACTTTCAGGTTCTGGCTTCATCGCCCACTTGTCTAATC